ATATGCTTGAAATAATATTGACCACACTGATCCTTCTGCCTCTAAACTGTTTTTATTCTTTCCTTTACTGCAAAGGAAAAAAAAAGTGCATATAAAACTTATGCCCTTCTTATTTATTTCACTGAAACACTATAAAAATGAATTCAAACAAAAAGAACTGATCATGGGACTAATTCTTTTAACATGAAACTTCTGAACTGCACTAAAAACAAAAGCAGTTCAGTTTCAGAAAAGAAGAAAAACTAATACGAAAAAATGAGGACTATATATTAGACAGTTCTGCGGGCGTTCAGTCATCAAACCTATTTACATACACATACTAAGAAGATAAGAGATGAAGTTGTAAGAGCTTCATCGAAACTGCAGTGCCACAGGCAATAACTAAAAGCCTAGTTCAGGAGAAGATATCATTATGAAATGGCAAAGTTAACTGCTTATGAACCTCTTAGTTTAATTGTGTAGTATTTATCTATTCATATATAAGAGTCTACTACATGGAAATTTTCAGGTTTTAAAAGCTTCACTAAGTTTTTAGAAGATATTTCCATTCCCACTCCAGTTCATGAGGCAAGCGGAGTTCACTTTAAGCCACAACTGAAAAATCAGTTTAGAGAAAGTTAAGGAGTAAAAAAGCAGGAACACATAAAATGTTTCTATCTTAGAGTGAAGTTTTTTACTACTACTGTAATGTGCAATACAGCAGACTTATGGCTGTTGAGGGAACAATACATTTGAATTTCCCACCTTCTGTGAGTTTAAAATGTGAGCAGTAATGTCGCAATACAGCAGTTAAATGTAATAAAAAGGATAAGAAAATTAAAAGAAAATGAAAAAGACACTGGTTATGTATTTATAGCGGTGGTAAAGCATTATTTTCCTCCAAGATAATCTTTAAAAACCTGAGGGCAACAGTCTTAACAACAAAGACTGTTAGCTATAGCTATTAAAGCAGAGATTACAAAGAGCTATCATCTCCTTTGAATACCTAAACTTTTACCACCTTCACTCTAGATGTTTTAACAGATGAAGTCTGTGCATCTGATGGATCTTTGAGAAAGAACATGTACCCCAGTGACCAAGAGACAGCAGAGATTCAGGACCTATCATTATAAAAGAAGCTGAGAAATGATATAAAAGAAGTAAGAAAACATTACAATCACAATTCTGCAAAACACATTACTGAGTAACATCAGTCTATCACAATACCGATCTGAAGCCAACAGGCATGTAAAGCCGCCAGTGCGTCTTAGTATTTCAGATTCCTTCTCAACTCCAGGAGCTACTGAGTTCATATAACTCACAGTCCTTTTCAAGAGTCTCAAGAACACATAAATCCTTTGCTCAGACATTACAAACCTTCTTCTGAACAGTTCTGAGAGTGACCCCTAGAGATGCTAAGCTACAAAATGTGCCAAAAAACGAGAAACAAAAGGATATCTAACACTTGAGATGTTTTACAAGCAGATACGGAAAAAAAATATGTACATACTTCCTAAGAACCTGGCCCAGAAGACAGGAGGAAAAATAAAAATTTCTTCTACCTTCCCCCCCCACTCTGTTATGCCAACTCTTCCTTGACTGATATGACCTTATTTTTTTTCTGACACTGGCCTCTAAATGCTATCCTAATGTAAACGATGTGACAGTAACAAGAAAAACCACTGCTTGATGTCTATAGAATGCACAAGCAAAACAAGCCTTTCTTTCACTAGGTACCTTCTGCAGCTGAACTGGAGGCTCCAGAGGAAAGGAAATGGCAGCTTGGCAGTTATAATGCTACCTTTACAAAAACAATTCTCACAGGTAATTAAATTCTTCAGATATAGCACTTCTATGTGCATTCATGTTGATGGCCACGTACAGCAAGAAATTGTGTTTCAATGCTTTTGCCTTGGCAATAGCTAGAGGTGCCGATTTGTCCCACCTCATCCATTCCATGCACAGACAAGGCAGTATCTGCTATATAATCTCAAGCTTTTCCTCAGCAATGTGGTGAATGTCCATAAGGATAGGTGTCACTTCAGAGAGTGCCAGCTGGGAACCAACCCTCTTATTGCTTAGAGTTCTATAGACACAGTACAGTCAGTTCCCTGCAGTACCTCCCTAGACACACACACAGGGCCACATATATGAAGACCTAGAAGACAAACTATGATATTTTTTTCCTCCACCAAAATCTTTTCTGCCTCCAGAGCAGCACACTGCTCAGCAAGACATCTGAGCTGCAGAGGCCCCAGAAGCAAAGACATCAACAAGGCAGGAACAAGGTGTCCTTTAAGCAAGGTCACTGGAGCAGGCTGCACTCTTAACATGGGCACTATCATGCAGTTGGTCCATGTCAAGGGTCTCATCACATGAACCACAGCAACCAATTACCCTATTAGAATCTCCTGGTGCAGACAACTGTGGCCTTGAATTTTCAGAAAAAACAAAACAAAACCAAAAACCAATAAGCTAAAAGAAATCACAAGAAAGATTTGTCTTTTTTGCACCTGAAAGTAGAAAGCTCTTCTGATATCCAGCATATGCTCTATTTCATAACTGCAACAGTGTAAAATTTAAAAAGGGAAACCAGACTAAGTTGTTTCCTGACTCAGAATCCTTTGTAAGATTTGTCTTGAGTCAAAGTTCATGAGAACAGATCGAATCATTCTCACCCCTTCTCCCAAGACCACTGTAATTACAAGCTGCATAAGCTGAGGAGACACTAAGTCATAATGCTACAGACATTTTTTCTACCAATTAAAACACTGACGTTTATATTTTTGCAATGTTTTCCTTTTGTTCAGAAGTTTAGTAATTACAGTCAGTACCTGCAACTTTTTAATATTACACGGGAATTAAATAGTTTCTTAAGCTGTACCGTAAACTTGTTTAATCAGTTAATTTAAGGCAAAATATGTCTAAACGCTGTGTTCTATGGAGAAGTAAACTAGACAGCACACACATTTAAACTGGATTTTGGAACAACTACGTAGTTACAGAATGACAGTAATTCTATTCATACTAATATCCCATTCAAAAAATAAATGCTAGAACTAAAAAGGCCAATAAATTCACTTAAAATGACCAAGAACTTCAGTTCTCTGATTCATGCAGACTCATTTCGATTCACATAAAACAAGAATTGCCAGAAGCTGAAGCTACTTGGACTGGGCAGGGGAAACTCATCCCATTTAAAAAAGAAAACCTTTTTAAGTTAGTAAGAAAAAACTTACTTTGTACAACTTTAGCCTATTTCTTTACTTAATATTCTCATTAATAGATATTTTCATCAATATGTATTTCATTCTATCATGTTAATAAAATAGATTTTATGGGAGTATATTAGCAACACGATGTCAGTAATCAGTTTTGCAACAGGGAAATGGTTTTAGAAAAAGCTTAAACAAACGTACAGTACTTATGGGATTTGCATATAAAAGATTTGCTCTCATCCCCATTTTGTAGTTGTCCCAAGACAAACATTTCAAAGACACAGTATTATTAAAAGTCCCTTCCAACCCATTCTACCATTCTAAGTTTCTATGATTATCTGTTCTGCAACCTGAAAAAAAGTGTGAACTTGCATGTACCTGATCCTAGCACTGAAAAGTTCCATCTGTCTCAGAAATAAAGATTCAAACTATACACTTTAATTTGCCAACAGCAGACAAAACTAAGTTCTTAATCCATAACTTCACATCTCTACTACTAGAACGCTGGCGAAATGAAATGTTTTATTTTAACCATCATTTCGCCTCTCAGTACATAAGCCAGTTTCTTAAAAAAAAAAAAAAAAAAAATCAACCACAATAACAAAATAAAAAAAGAAAAGCAAGAACAAATAACCCTTCAGAAAGAAGGGAACCTCTTTATGAACATGAACAAAATATCATAACCACATTTAAGATCCTTCTTAAAAAAAAATAAAAATTATAAAACAAGTGTTTTCACACCTTAACTAACTAACTAGATGTGCTCCTAATACTATCAACACAATAAAAAGGGCACTGTAAAGTATTACATATAATGAAATAAAGACTAACTTGTGCTCAGAAAGGACAAAAATGATAAGCATTATAAGCTAGGAAAAATGTCAGAGGATTAACTTGATGGATTAAAAAAAAAAAAAAAAAAAAAATCTACCTGGAGCATTATCCAAATAAGACTGTTAAAACTTTGAAGTGAAAAACTTAAATATAGTGCTGGAAGTCTATAAAAAAAAAAAAAAAATTCCATCAGCTACTCCAAAAGCTATCCCTCTGAAGTAAAGCTTCAAAGACCAATTGTAAAATATTAAATAATTAAACCTCCCCAGTTCTTGATGGGCAATGAACAATGTGCTTCAAAACTAATTTCTAACTGAAGTGTTTGAAAGAAACACTCCAGAAGCAAAAACTTCTTTTAATTAATACACAGAATATTATTATGATGTTCAAGGAAGACTCTTTCATGAAAATTTATATGAAATTGACAGTAAACTAACATGAAAGAGTAGGAAAGTCTGTATTCAAAGCTCTTCATAATTCTACCTTAGCAAGCTGTGTAAAAATCAGTAACAAGAAGATTAATGATTTTGAAGTTACTGACTGCTTAAGTGTTAAATTACATTTCAAAACAAATCCAGAAAAATGTAATTGCTTCCAGGAAGCTAAACACTTGTATTATTAATTTCCTAACACTGGCTGTTATTACAAACCCATTACAGACTTGTACTGACACCTGTGAAAACCTGAGCAGCTTCAGGTCAGAAAAGGCCATGCTTCCTCTTATGTGTAATGGAGGCAAGAACATTTAAAGTCCCTACTTTCCCAATAATAACCAGAAGAGACTAAAAAGCTTCCATGAATGGCACAAAGTAAAGCAGAAAATGAAGACTAGTCACGTACAAAAAGACAGAGCTCTCTTGATTCTAGGTACTAATCAACAGTAGATTGTCATATAAGGAAACTAATTTAAGTATTAACCTAAAAAAAATATATATATATTTTTATTTTTTTTTCAATTAATATCCTTACCAAGCTTCAGGCAACAAGAAAGCATATTCATGTGGTGAAGTAGTCTCTGGAAAATTGGAGAGAATTGCCTGTCTGTGTGGAAGTAAAGATGATCCATGGAAAGTGAACAAAATTTCCAGGGCTCTGACATTGCTTTCCTAAAGAGTAAAACATTAAATTGCAGAATTAGCTTAAGACTGATTTAGAATGAAAATGAGCAAGAAATATAAGCTTAGGTCATGCAACAAACACTTAATTTTAGAATTTTCTTTAGTAATAAAGAAAATTAGTTCATGGTCACTGCATTTATTTATTTACAACCAAATACACCCCCTCACCTCTTAAATTCTCACTGATATTCAACCAAGTTTAAAGGGGATAAAAAATGCACTTAAGTGAAAACAGCAATACCAACAAAAAATTCCATTCTAGCAAAGAAAAAAAATATTAATACCCGAGCATAAGTCCTTGCTGAAAGTACAATATTTTGATTTCTGAACTTTTTGAAGAATTCACCATCATAGTGCTGCTCAGCTGCATGAGGCCCTCCAAGGATTTCCTTAACAAAACAGAAAGAAAAATAAAACCTTAGAGATTTTTTTTTTTAACATAAGATATACAAAAAGCATCAAAAAGCCAACATGTTTCTTCATGTTAGTATAAGTCAGTATGAGATATATGTGGAAAAGTATGCTGTTGGTTTTTACTTGTTTCAGTATGCAAAAAAACAGATACATTTTTGACTGAAAAGGTAAGACAATTCTCTGCCTTATTTTAATTGGGACTTAGACAACATTTAATTAAAAGAGATGTGGTAAAAGTCATTTCATGACTAGTGCCAACTGCAAAGTTAAAGTTAAAAAACTAAGCAAAATACAGTTTGACTGAAGTGAAAGTTTTTGGAATGTAAGTTCATGGATGAAAAAAGTTTCGTTAGAGAAAAGGAATAGAACTTGCTAATTAAACTGACAGAAGGAAACAATAGTAAAACTGCACCAATTCCACATCCCATGTTGTTGCATAACTCATTTTCCTGGAGACACAGTATGTTCAAAGTAGGCTTCTGACTAACTATGCCTCTCAAGACCAGAAGTCAGCTATTTGCAACAGTGAAGCAGGAGAAAAACAGAACAGAAAACAGCTTACATTTCTCAAGTGAGAGACTGTAGCGTTTCAAGAAGATTACAAAACATTAATACTACAGTACATAACAAAATAGATATGACAATGTGACAAAAAAGTTACAAGAATATCAACGGAATGAGAACTCAAAACAACTGTAGCCAGTTTCCAAGTTTTCCTCACCTCATAGGTTTCGAGGCGATCAAGGTAAGTTAACAACTTCAGCCTGCTACGGCAGAGTTCTTTTTGTTCCAGTGTCAGCCTGTGTTCAAAACAGGAATTTTCACGCTTTCAATTGATACTGTACATTATGTGCATATGAAGACAACAGTCACACATTTTAATGACTTTGTGCACTGGAATATATCAAGAAAGCAAATAAACCAAGAACTTTGACACAATATAAATGACTATTAAAATGTATTCCTTTCCTATTAGAAATAACATGCATGAGAGTAATTACATTCTTGCAGCTGTGCAGTTATAATAAACCTATAACTCTGAATAAAACATGGCCTAACATTTCATTTACTTTGAGAAGTTTACTGATAATAGCAGTTCTTGACGCTTTTTGGCCTCTTTTTCCTTTCTAGTATTCATTTCTTCATCTGGTGACAAAAAGTCTTCATAGGGAATTCCAATGTCCACCTCTCCTGGTAAGATAAATCTGTAGGACAAAACCAAAAACATAATCAGTTGATACAAACAAAAAGATATGATGAACTAATTCTTGAATAAACATACTAACACAGCTTTCTATTGATGTCTTGACTAAAAATCAAGACTTGTATAGAAAATTATAATAGCAAGTTTTGCTGTTGTAAAGCAGCAGGCACTAAAATCACAAGCCAACAACAGGTATCATTTCTTGTTTCTACCCCCTGCCTAAAACAAAATTAAAAAACAAAAACAAAAACCAACCAACCAACCAAAACACAAAAAAAAACTCCAAACCTACCAACCACACAGCTATGATGCTTGTGAAAAGTTTCTATATTCCATAGGTACCATTGGGAGTGGTAGCAGCTCTACAGCATACATCAGTAACAAATGACTGCATGAAGCAAGAGGAGTGCGTTCTGCTTCCACTACCAGGAACCGAAAGCTGAAGATAACTGTCCCTGCATGTATTTTCCCACTGACTCACTGTGTCTTGCTTTGTTCCCCCTGTGAGGAACTGCACTGTGGACTTGTC